CTATCGCCCAATCTGCCTATTGTCTGTCATCTACAAGTTGTTCACTCGAGTCATCCTGAATAGGATTGGCAGAACACTAGATGAAGGACAACCATGTGAGCAAGCAGGGTTCCGCAAAGGATTCAGCACCATCGACCATATCCACACGATAACCAAACTCATTGAGGTTTCTCGGGAGTTCAAGATGCCGCTCTGCTTAACGTTCATTGATTTAAAGAAGGCCTTTGATTCTGTTGAGACGGAAGTGGTCATTGAAGCCCTAGCCAATCAGGGCATTCAAGCCCAATACATCAGGATCCTCCGTGAGCTGTATTGCGGATTCACTACCAGGATCTCACCATTCTACAAAGAAGTGATCGTTGATGTCAAGAGAGGGGTGCGGCAGGGTGATACCATCTCACCAAAACTCTTCAGTGCCACCCTCGAGAACATCATGCGACGACTGGAATGGGAAGGAATGGGAGTGAATATAGATGGTCGGCAACTACACCACCTCCGCTTTGCTGATGACATTGTTTTAATAACACCAAACATCAGCCAAGCGGCACAAATGCTGGCCGACTTTGACCGTGAGTGTGGAAAGGTAGGACTACAGCTGAATCTTACGAAGACAATGTTTATGAGAAACAGCCTTGTTCCTGACGCCCCATTCGCTCTCAATGGAACGACCATCTCCGAATGCAACAGCTATGTGTACCTAGGTCGAGAGGTCAACATGACAAATGACCTGGCACCCGAGCTGCGCAGGAGGAAGAGAGCAGCTTGGAACGCCTTCAAGAACGTCGAAGAAATAGCTAAGAGGACGAAGAACCTCCGGCTCCGGGCACATCTCTTTGATTCCACTGTTCTTCCTGCATTAACATATGCCTCAGAGACCTGGGCCCTACGCAAACAAGATGAGAAGGCCATTCAGGTCTCCCAAAGAAGAATAGAAAGAGCTATGCTTGGAATATCACGTTTCACTCAAATGAGAGAACGAATCCGGAGTTCTGACATCCGTCGACGATCAAGGATCAGGGACGCTGTCTCATTTGCCAAGGTGTCGAAAATCAGATGGGCTGGTCACGTAATGAGATTTAGAGACGACCGTTGGACTAGAGCTGTTACTGATTGGATTCCACGGGATGTCAAGAGACCGCGTGGCCGCCCACCTACCAGATGGTCAGACTTCTTTGTCAAGGTCATGAACGATCGGTTTGAGGCCCTCCATGTTCCCGGAGCGAAGAGATGCCATTGGGCTACACTAGCACGCGACAGGGACAAATGGAGACGTTACTGGCGCCCGCTCGAGCAAATCGACGACTAACGGGAAGTTAAGTGATTAAGTTTAAGTGATACTATACTCTATACTATTGCTCTAGCTTGCTGTCTGGGAGAGCTTACCAAGTGAAATCTATTTAACATGATGGATAATTTGATTTCCTTGATGTTCTTTTTTTTTCTCCCCCCACCTTTTTTTTTTTATTAGTGAAACACTCTGAGGTACTGTTAGAGACTTACAAATTTTTGTGCTTGGGTTTCAGTTATACAATGATCAAGTACCCATCCTTCCACCAGTGCCCGTCCTCCACCTTTTGGAAAACAGTATGGACTATTCTCAAAAAATTAGAAATTGAGCTCCCATTTGACCCAGCAATACCACTCCTGGGAATATATCCCAGAGAGGCAAAAAAAGTATAGTCGAAGTGACATCTGCAATTGTTTGTTCATTGCAGCACTCTTTACAATAGCCAGAATCTGGAAAAAACCTGAGTGCCCGAGAACAGATGACTGGTTAAAGAAACTCTGGTACATTTACACAATGGAGAACTATGTAGCTGTTAGAAAAGATGAAGTCATGAAATTTAGATACAAGTGGTACTACATGGAAAGTATCATGTTAAACGAAATGAGTCAGAAAGAACGAGATAGACACAGAAAACTTGATGTTCTTTTTAAGATGGGCAGTGTTAGGGGCAACATGTAATTGTGGGTCATTTATACTAGAAGAAAAATTTTGGTTAAATATTGTTAATTGGCTTTAAGTAAAATTATATTTATAATGTACAGCAGGATGATTTTATAGACATATACAAAGGGAAATGATTATTAATCAAGGTAATGGATAAATTTTGTCAGACAATAACCTGTTTGGAGCAACACTCACCTAAGTAAAATTCCTTAAAATGTCCAAAGTTAAATATAATATTATCTTGTCCCACTTTATTTAAACACTGTGATTTACAAAGTAGTTTGTGATGCATTTGTGGCGAGCATTCAACATTCCAACACCAATCCCATCACCACTGTGACCTTCCTTCCACCAATGTGTTCATTTTCCCAACCACCACTCAAGCCTGCCCCTGTAGCAGGATACAATAATTTATTTTATATTGCTTGTTGCCACTAAATGGCAAAAAGCATGACTAAAGAAATTTGTGAAAATTTAGTAAAAGAAAATTTGTGGAAATTGTTGTATCTCATTTAAGTCCTTGACTGGGGGTTTACCAACCCGTTGTTGCTAGTTGAGGCTTCTGTGCTAATGTTTTTGTTAGTCGAGCTTAGTTGGCTTCTTCATTACATACCATTTACATACAATCTTCTGTGCTCCTACTGGGATGTTAGTATTGTAGACTTTAGAAGATGCTGTTCCAGAAAATTCAGAATATTTAACTGGGAAGTGAGTTTACATGGTGATGGTGTGGTCTGCCAGGGCTCACAGAAGTATGTTGTGTGGTGGGGAGATTGTCCACCCACCACCCAGACTCTGAGAAGGTTCAGAGTTTTCAGCCAAAAAATCTGGTGTACCTAAAATTTTTGACAGTTTGTTTACCTGAAATTTTCTGTAGTTTGTCATCTCAGTGGAGCTCAGTTGAATATAATATTAATAACTATAGTCTCTTTGGTAACCATTAGGTTTCTGACAGTTATCTAACCTAAATAACTACAACATTGTATACTTTGACCAAAATCTCTCCTTGACTTCGATCCTCTTCCTTGGAGCTGGTAACTACTTTTCCAGTCTCTATTTCTATGTATTTGATACTTTTATGTACTTGACATATATAAGTGAAATGATGTATTTATTTTCCTTGTTATGCTTATTTTACTTATCAGAATGTCCTGTAAATTTCCTTGTGGTGTTATGGAATTGTCTACTCTTCTAAGACTGAAAATTACTCCATTACTTGTATAGATATCACCGTTTCTGTATCCATTCATCTCTGGTTGAATACAATACATTTCCATCATTGAAAATAATGCTACGATGAACACAGGAGTACAGATACTTTTTCAAGGTAATGATTTATTAGCTTTGGGTATATATCAGAAGTGAGAGTACTGGATCATATGTTAATTATAATTGTGGGGAGTTCTGGGCCACACTGAAAGGTGCTTAGGGTCTTACTCCTAGTTCTGTGCTCAGGGAACTATATATAATTCTAAGGATTAAATCAGGGTCAGCTACATGGAAGACAAGTGCCTTAACCTCAGTACAATTTCTCAGGCCCCTAACCTGCCAATTTAAAAATAATCTTATTGTTTTCCTTTTGATTTGAGTTCTTTGTATATTTTACATATTAACAACTTATCAGAGATTTTTAGTTTGATAATCCCACTTGCTTATTTAAAATTTTTTTCTGCCTGATACTTTGGTGTTTATATGCCCCAAATAAATTTCATGGCCAAAGTCAAGTTTCCCTCCCCCTAATGTTCTATTTTAGAAGTTTTCAGTTCTTTACATTTGTCCTTCATTAAATTTTTTTGCATTTATTTTTGCGTATGGTATTACATAAGAGTCTGACATTCTTTTTGGTGGGTTTCCAGTTTTCCCCATACAATTTATTCAAGGTGCTATATGATCCCTAATGAGTAGCTTTGGTACCCTTTGTTATTTAGCTATTGAAATTTTATTAAAGTTAAGGTAATATATTTACAAGGGTGTTGGCATTTAGAGTTTGGTGCACCCAGTTACCTCCCCATCACCAAAGTGCCCTGAACCATTCCTTCATACCCCTCTGTCATCTCCAGTCCACTTATTCCTTCCCTCCCCATCTGGGGCTCTGTTTGTATTTTGAGACAGTAGATGCTTAGTTTCATCTGATGCTCCATTGATCTGTGTCTGTTTTTATTACAATATTATGCTGTTGTGGTAACTTCAGCTTTGTAATAATTTAAAGTAGATAACTATTATCCCTTCAACTCTGTTATTTCTCAAGTTTGATTTGGTGTTTGTATCTTGTGGTTCCATATGAGTTTTATGATAATTTTTGTATATCTGTTAAAAAAGTACCATTTGGATTTTGATAGCTATTGTATTGGATTCATATAGAATATCTTATGACCAGCTTTGCTTTCACTTTACTCTCTTGGTATTTTATAGTTTTAGTATACAGATATTTTGTATTCTTGTTTAATTTATTCATAGTTTATTTTTTGATGTTATCACAAATTAGATTTTAAAGTACCTTTAAATAAATAATTGCTTGTGAAAAAGCATGCCAATGATTTTTGTATGCTTATTTTCATTTTATTTATTTAATTATTTAAAAATTATTTTTATTTAGTTGTTTAATTATTTAATTATTTTTCATGGGAAGCTGAGGTACTACTTGGGTAGATATCACTACATATAGGATTATATCATTCCGACACTGGGATACTTTCACTTTTTCCTTTCTGTCCAGGATGTCTTTATTATTAGGTTTTTCTTCATCTCTGTTGCCAATAGTACTAGAACATCTAAATTGGGCTGTTTTCTTTTCAGGATTGAATGAAATTTCCTGCATTATGCCTTTTGAAGATTATGGTTTGTTTTTCTGATACATAGTAGACATAACATGTACTGAAATTTCATCATGGAGCAATAGTGACATGAAACATCTAAAGTTGACAACTTTGGAATATGTATTCATTGTTTTTTGAAGCACCATGATTTACAACATTAGTCATTATTTTTAACATTCTTTAGTTCTGTTATTTCTGAGTCCCTATGCATGTTAGACACCTAATATTTCCAAATGGCAGCGGATAACCAGACTTGGGTGAGAGAGTTTATTCTCTTAGGCCTATCCAGTGACCGGAACACTCAAATCTCTCTCTTTGTCCTGTTTCTGATCATGTATCTGGTGACAGTTCTGGGAAACTTCCTCATTGTTCTTCTGATCAGACTGGACAGCCGGCTCCACACGCCCATGTATTTCTTTCTCACCAACCTCTCCCTGGTTGATGTCTCTTATGCCACAACCATTGTTCCTCAGATGTTGGTGCATTTTCTCGCAGCACACAAAGCAATACCATTTGTTAGCTGTGCAGCCCAGTTATTTTTCTCCCTATCTTTGGGTGGAATTGAGTTCCTTCTACTCACAGTGATGGCCTATGACCGCTACGTAGCTGTGTGCAACCCTCTGCGGTACTCAGTCATCATGCATGGGGGACTGTGTACTAGGTTGGCCGTCATCTCCTGGGTCAGTGGCTCTACCAACTCCCTCATGCATACTGCCATCACCTTTCAGTTGCCTATGTGTACAAATAGGTTTATTGATCACATATCCTGTGAGACCTTAGCTGTGGTCAGGCTGGCCTGTGTGGACACTTCCTCCAATGAAGTAGCAATCATGGTCTCCAGCATCATCCTTCTGATGACACCTTTCTGCCTGGTCCTCCTGTCCTACGTCAAGATCATCTCTGCTATCCTAAAGATCCGGTCCACAGAGGGAAGGAAGAAAGCCTTCCAAACGTGTGCATCTCACCTCACTGTAGTTATCCTGTGTTATGGCATGGCCATTCTGACTTACATCCAGCCCAGATCCAACCCCTCAGTGCTTCAGGAGAAGTTGATTTCTCTCTTTTATGCCATTCTGACACCCATGCTGAACCCCATGATCTACAGTCTGAGGAATAAGGAGGTGAAGGGGGCCTGGCAAAAACTATCAGCACAATTATCTGGGCTAAATTCGAAACTAGGCACTTGACAACTCATGAGTATCACTTAGGAAAAAATTTAACTCTGTCTTCTTCTCCGAACTCAGATCTTTCAGATATCAACTGTCTTTCCTGGGCAACAAATCAAAGAGATGATGGAAAATGTACTGATGATTCTGGGTAGGGGGTTGAGGGGTTGAGTTGGGGTACAGAATGTGGAGACATTTTTTATGTTACAGTAGCATGTTCTATAGCCTGAAACATGGCTGTGACAGAATATCTCACCCTCACTGAACCTTCATTCTATGACCTTAAAGTAATTGATGAAAACATCCACTGTTTGATTTGTTAACTTTGTTTATTGGATCCATTAAAGGATCTTACTTTGAAACACTTCTTTTTTTTCTCATCCATATTTGGTAAAAGGATATATTATCCACTGGTAACAAGAAGCATCTTCATATTGAATGACTCAGTTAAAGTATTGTGTATTAACATAAATGTGTGGCATAATAATATGTAAGTCCATTGACCATTCAGCAATTGTATGAATTATTCTTCTGAATAGAGTATTTCTGTAAAACCTGATGAAAATTTCCTTTTGTGATGAACGTTCTCTGTGTGCACATACTGACTCAGTTATAAAAATAATTTCATAAAGAAACAGAAGCCAATATTTCTGTTTTGTGTGGTAGGATAGAACCAAATTTTAAACAATAACATTTAGTGGATAAGAAAAATATGAAATTTAGCTATTGTTACCTAGCATGTGAATAATTTGACAAGAAGAATACTGTTATACATGAGATTTCATTTAAAGGATGAAAAATATCTGAAAATTCAGCATTTTTTCTTAAATGTTGGAAACAAAATTAAAACCAGCAATATAAATGGATACAATTTAAGTATTCGATATGCCAGACACAGTAACAACAAAGTCTCCAATGGAGACGTTACTGGGCCCGCTCGAGCAAATCGACGATCAACGGGAGGGCCTTTACTTTACTTTACTTTACAATTTAAGAGACAGTCTGAGAAAAGTATTTCTTTAGGGAAGTCAACTAAGATAAAATAAGTCTAATGTGTATTTTTGAGTTATAAGAATCATCCTTTCCCCCTACAGATGTGTCCGTCAGGTCTTATGTTAAGAGAGACTTCTTGCACCCCCATCTAAGTCCCCAAACCACACAAAACCCTACTCAATCTTAGTACATATAGTGAGTCGCATTATCTGTGAGGGAACATTGCTTCTGAAGATAAATGCTGGTAAAGTAAAAGAGCTTTTATTTTGTCTTTAAAGAATAATTAACAGAACAATTGGTAAGAAGGGGAGGAAATAACAGAATTGTGGGTCTTCAGGGTCATATTCCTTTGGTGTTAAGGGACGATGTGACCAAGGATCCAACAAGGGTTGGCAGCATGCAAGGTGAGAGCCTTCATCTCTGTTCTATCCTCTGACTCTCTTTATTCCTTTTGTCTTTTCTTTACTTTTTTGGCTTTTTGGGTCACAGCCGGTGACACTCAGGGGTTACTCTTGGCTCTGTCCTCAGGAATCACTCCTGGAGGTGTTTGGGGAACCACATGTGATTCCAGTATTGATTCTGGGTTGGGTGCATGCAAGGCAAACGCTCTCCCCACTGGACTACCACTCTGGCCCTTGTCTTTTCAATAAATTAAGTTTCTTTGTGTTTGGTCCTGAGAAGTTCAAAGGGTTCCATTGTACCATGAGGTACAGTTGTAGACTTAGAAATTTTTGTGCTTGGGTTATTTGTCATGCCTCAGAGAGAAATGTTCTTTATTACCCTATTAATGGTTTAAAAATTGTTGTTATTTAAGTTTTGTCCTTAATTGTGTTTGTTTTACATGGGAGAGTAAATTGACTATCCTGTCTTGACTAGAACAAAAGACTTTTTTGTGGATTTTTCAATCTTACTGAAGATAGATCTGTGTTTGAATTTTGAAGGCATTTTCCAAGTTATGACAATCTTGAGCAGCCTATCTGTATCCAATGTAGTTTTTATGATTTTTTCTCTTTTTAGTTGAGAGAGGTACTGGGGAAATGAGGAAGAAGAAACAGGGATGGCCAGCCCTCTGTTAGATCATTTTACAAACCCTCCTTATGAGAGCATATGCAATCTGATTAATCTTTCTAAAAACTTATTTCCATAAAGACACATTCAATAATCTTATAAACTCTTAGAAAAGCATATGTGATCTGATTTGCCATCCCACAATCCCCCATGCTCTCATTTGCATATAGAATCCAATTGGTGCTTGTAATGGAATTGTCTTGTTGGCATAACCAATCAGAAACAACTAAAACAACTAAACTAGATACAAGATAGAAAACAATAATACAGGTTTCTCTTTCACATCATATACCGAAATAAATTCCAAATGTATTGTTGACATAAATATTAAAATTAAATCATAAAATATCACGATCACGATCACGACCATCCTGTTGTTCGTTGATTGCCTTGAGCAGGCCCCAGTAGCGTCTCCTTCGTCCTAGTTCTGAGATTTTTTTTAAAAGTGCCATATTCAAGGCTCTTTCAGGGTTAAAATATAAAATATAATATTTTATAAGACCCATAAAATATCCAAGAATATAATTTTAAATATAATTTAATAATTTGTGATAGACTGTATTTTATTTCAGATACAGAAACAAAAAGTAATAGTAGGAAAGACAGTTAGTAAATGGAACAATGTTAAAATTAAGAACATCACTTCATCAGAGACACCTGTTAAGAGAATGGAAAGGTAAGCAGCAGTATAAAGGAAAATATTTCTGATACATAAGAACTGAAATTTATGTGCTTAAAATAAAAAAATAACAGAGAAATAGCTTAAAGGTCTAGAGTGCATGCTTTGCAAGTGTAAGTTCTGGATTCCATCCCTAACTTTGTATGGTCCCCCAAGTACAGCTAGAAGTGATCCCTAGGACTGTAGGGTGTGGTATCTCAAAAAATTAAATTAAAAAAGTAAAACAATAATCAGTATAAAATATAGAAAAATTATAGGAAACCAAACATGCCACTCAGAAAACAGAATATTCAAAGGGTCAATAAATATTTTAAATAGGCAGAACTTTATTAGTTATTAAGGCACTAAACTATAATCACAAACAAACAAAAACTGTCTTCCTGTTGTACATCAATTTGCTCAAGCGGGCCCAGTAACATCTCCATTGTGAGACTTCTTGTTACTGTGTTCGGCATATTGAATACTCTAGGTAGCATGCCAGGCTCTCCGAGAGGGCCGGAGGAATCAAACCCAGCTCAGCCGGGCTGGCTGCGTGCAAAGCAAACGCCCTATTGCTATGCTATCACTCCAGCAAACTATAATCACAATGAGATTTCATTATATACCCTTTATAATGGTCAGAATGAAAAAGAGTGACAATCTCAATATTCTTTAAAGCAATCCTCATATGGATTTTGCACCCTATCCAAATATAGAAAGTTCCTATTTGGTATGGTATTTGGGGTTTCTGGTGATGCTCAAAATATTTTTTATATAAAATAGTAGGACTATCATGTGCAGATCTCCTTAATAACTACCAAATTATACCTCTGTTTTGGGTAATGTAGAGGAAACTGTCACACAACTGTATTAATGTTTTCTAAAGCTGGACCTACACATTATCTGAAGATCAGCAATCACATCAGAAGATTACATAATTAAACACATATATGGGACAAAATACTTGTGTACATGTGTGGATGCAGCATTACTCTTAATAGCCAGAAACCAGAAATAACACCAGTGCATATCAACAAAAGGATATTTAATTGGATGAGTATAAATTAGGTACTACATTTCTATCATATTTGTGGGAAGACATGTAGACACACAAAAAGTTAAAAAAATTGGCAATACCCATTATAAGGACAGTGAAATAAAAGGGGTAGGAAGGAATTCCACAAAATTTTTGTGTTGACTATAGAGAAAAAATTTGATCTTAGTTCATATGCAACTAGAAAATCATATTGCATTATATATCACTTAAAGACTCCATACATGATTTATGAATAACTGCGTACCTGGGTCAAATAATCTTTTTTAAAATTTATTTATTGAATCAGGACTGGAGCGATAGCACAGCGGTAGGGCGTTTGCCTAGCAAGCAGCCAACATGGCCGACCTGAGTTCAATTCCTCCGCCCCTCTTGGAGAGCCCGGCAAGCTACCGAGAGTATCTTGCCCGACAGCAAAGCCTGGCAAGCTACCCGTGATGTATTCAATATGCCAAACACAGTAACAAGTCTCATGATGGAGATGTTACTGGGCCTGCTCGAGCAAATCGATGAACAATGGGAGGACCAGACCGGACCAATTTATTGAATCACTGTAAAAACAATTACAAAGATTTCATGTTTGAGTCTCAGTCATACAATGATCAAACACACATCTCTTCACCAGTGCACATTCTCTACCACCAAAACCCCAGTATACCTTCTATCTCACCCCTACCCCTGCCTTTGTGGCAGAAAATTTCCACATTACTCTCTCTCTACTTTGATTACATTCAATATTTTGACACCACTCTCACCATTATTATTTGGAATTTTCCCCCAACACTCAGACCTGCCAAAAAGGTAGCATTAGATAGTTTGTTTTGTGTTGCTGATTATGAATAGCATATATTGTCACTGCTGCATTGTTTTGGAATTCTAAAATTTTAATAATTAGGGTCTGGAGAGATTTCTACCAAAAGCCACTTGGTCCTGAGATTTGTTTGTGTGTCTCTGGGATCATGGCTGTTAAGGAATTTAATTAGTAGCTGGGGGCCATTAGTGGGCATCATCTCAGGGTCCCGTTGGAGCAGGGGAGGAGAAGGACTGGTTCCTCCCGTATCCCATGTGGCCTGGCACGTGTGGTCACTGCTGCCCTGTACCTGGGTTTTCCATTGAGTTCTGGAACATGGTGGCCGCCGGGCTTCCCAGGCAACAGGCGGAGGTATGGCACCTGCTCCCGTCTGGGGTGGCCTGGAGAAGGTGGCCTAATGCAAAGTCCAGAGGCATTTCTGCCAAGAGTCGCTGGGT